AGGCTTTCTCGCTCCCTCACACGCACATGCACGACGCCCGGCCGCTTCCCGGGCCGCCCGGCCTGGGGGAGGGCGCACTGAATAACCGCCGTCTTTAACCAGAAAACCACCTGCCACAGGAAACCTGTCATTGCCCTGGAAAGAAGAGACTCACTGCTTCCTGCTAGCAGCCGGGGAAACCGGCGGCAAGGTGGGGAGGAGGGGGAGATGCTTGAGTCAGAAGAAAAGAGAAACCGAGGCTCAGAAGAACTGAATTAATACTGTTATTAATGAGAATAACAACAAAGGGGTTAATAATGATGCTCAGCCTTGCCTCAATGATCCCGAGAGCATCGAAGCCGTTGCTACTTCTACTGCTGCCCAAGTGCAGCCAGCTGCAGGCTGGAGCATCCCAGGCACCGACAGGCCGTGGAGCCAGCAGCTTGGGCAGGACGGGAGGAGGGGGGAGGACACAGCAGCAGTCTCTGCAAACTCAGCTGAGACAGCTAAAGCAGGACTCAGCACTCTGGGGCCCTGGAAAGCTGCACCACCTCGGTAAAGCAAACCTGCCACCCCCTCCACTCACCCCTCTGCTGCCACACTGACTTCTGAGGGTGCCTGCTCTCTGTGCACAGGTTGAAATGCACCCAGCAGCTACAGCAGCTGTCACAGGAGGAGCTCGCACATCAAACGAGCATCTCTCAGACATAACTAAATGCTTTGGAAATCATGACTGACGTTGAACTCTGGAGCTGACGGGAATCACCCAGGGGCCGGGAGCCCCAGCCTCTCTGTGACTCATTCCCCTCAAAACACAAGCTACAAAGCCCTGGGGCAGATGGAGCTGCTGGCTCTTTCCATACCACCATAGCGCAAGCTGAGCCTTGCTCTTCTGGGCGGAACCACATTAGAGAAGCAGAGTCCCTGAGCCAACCAAAGGACAAGAGCACCCGGGGAATAAACCCAGGAGCAGTAGGGGTTCACTGTCCACCAGGAATTGGAAAAACATTAGCAGAAATTCACCATCCATCCTCTACTTGCCTCCCTGCATTTCTCCAGCTGCCTGCCAGGATCCTCTCTGTCTGAATCAAACTGGGCTTAGCTCCCCTGCTCCCATCCTCATGGGAAGGCAAGGACCGTGTGCTATCAATGCCAGCTGAGCAGTAGTAATCTCATAAGCAAGTGGATTGTCATCTGCTCTGAGAAGAGCAGCCCAGTTCTTCTTGGTGCACGGGTAGGCAGGATTTTCCAGAGGAACAATCAGAGCCCATATCCACCTCTAGGATTACCTTGGAGAGAGCACTGACCTCAAGGAACAGGTGTTTCTTCACCCCTCTCAGGCACAGTCACCCAGAGCCATCACTGCTGACAGATGTACTGCAATCAGCCTAGAGCCATGTCAGCTTTAGAAGGATCATCAGCTACTGAGAAAGGAGTGAAATCTCTGTCAGCAAAAAAACCCAGCTCCAACCATGGACTGAGAGCACTGTGTAAGGAGGAAGGTTCAAGACTGGCTTCTCAAGAGTTCTTCCCAAAAATGAGTATCTGGAGGAATATGAAGACCATTAAGTCAAAGGATGGTTTTCTGAACGTGAGCCCAACTACCACTTTTCAAAGGGCTTCCAGGCCCAGCATGGGTATAAGGATGGTCTCTGCCCACTGCAGGCTGCACATCCTGTATCCTGCCTGCCAGTGGCCCAAAACACATGGGACTGCACTTACCAACGTACAAAATGCAAAAGAGCCCGGCCCCTGTGCTCCAACACTGACCACACACTCCTACCCATACACAGCCAGAAGTGACCATCCCTCCTGAAAAGCAGATGCCTAATTCTTCTCACTGGGAAGAGCTGCAGGGGTGCCCGCAGTGCCACAGGAGGAGAGTGGGACAGCAGGGTAAAACCAAAGGAGGGAAAATCCATGCTAAACAACAGGAAGAGCCTCCAGGTACTGCACAGTGTTCAGATGTAGAAAGGGATAGAAGCACTACTATGGAAACATTTAAAAATATTAGAAAATTATTCATATTTTTTTATCTATGCTGCATAATGTCTCAGGGAGCAGACCAGAGGAGATGGCCCATTCGGCTCCACATTGCACCATCATCCATCTGAATGAATACAAAGTGCTACTGTCTCAGAAAAGCATACTTGCATGCTGTTGCGCCACTGTGTAAGTGATGGCGTGAAGCACAAACCTGGGGAGAGCCAGCCCAGGTGAGCCTGTGCTTTCAAAGAGCTTCTGACTGAGCCTGTCAGAAGAGGTTAGGAAAGGAAACCAGTAATGTCAGAATGAGAGATAAAGATGGATTCAAAATTAGCTGCAAAACTAAATGCTTAAGTTGCAGTCATCCTGGGCTGTGTGCTCTCGCTGCAAGCGCTGACTCCTGCATCCTGCCCTGGCCTCACTTTTCCTGTCCTGCTCGACTGAGCATCTCTGCTCTGAGTCCGCAGGGGAGAAGCATATTGGCCCCTATGTGAGCCCTCAGCACTGGGACAGGGAAGGGTGGGAGTGCTCACCAAGTGCAGCGTGTCTGCTTTCTGGGTCTGCCTCAGGCGACTCTTCTGGGCAGCAATGCGATTCTTCTCCCTCCGTTGGACTTTCCTCATGTCATCAGAAGAGTCCTAGGGAAACAAGGCATGGAAATGACTGGGGCATCCCCTCCCTCACCCTGCTCTCACAGGGCAGTAGATGGGAAGAGGACACAGCAGATATCATCATTGAATCACAGGACATGGGATACACACCCTCAGCACCAGGATAGAGCCATACCCCAGGGACGTGTGATGCTTTTGGCATCCCCATTGCCAGGAGAGGCAAGTCTGATAGCCTTGGGCATCCTGACACAGCCAGGAAATGACCACTCTCCCTTCACCAAGACACAGGCCTGGGAGGGCTTGAGGGATCAGAGTAAGGATCTCTCTCTGGAACAGAGACAATTTTAATTTCTTGTACAGAAAACCTTTTCCTTCCTGTCTCTCTGTGGGGATACAGCACTGCAGACATTCCAGCCTGTGTTTTCCTCCTTTCATCCCTGTAGGTCCCATCCCCTTTCCATCACTCTTGTCCCTCAGGCTTTACTTGTTGCAGACCCTTACAGTGCAATATGGCCCCCTTTTTGTTTAACTAGACAGACTGAAAGCTTTTGGTTTTTCCCCAGGTCTCATTTGCTTCAGCTCTCTGGTCACTGTGCTTGCTCTTTTCTGGAGTCCCTTGTTAGCAATGCCTACAATGCTGACTGCAACACTCCCAAGCCCCTCGGGCAGAGGAGAGCACAGGCCTCCAGGTCATGAGCTTCATGCAGCAGCTGTTCTCTGCTGAGATCTGGTCCTGCTGCTGCCTTCTGACAGTTGAAACCGTCACACAGACTCTTTCATCTTCTGTTTTCATATTGCACTGCCTCTTTTGTGGACTCTCTAACATTCACACCACCACTTCTCCACAGGACTACAAAACTCAGCCACAAAAGTTATCTTCCCAGCCCATCAGTCTGTCCACATCCTCTCCCTCCTCCACCCCGCCCAAGACCTTTTCTTTTCTTTGAACTTAACTGTTTTATCCTTGCCTTCAATACCATACAAATGTCTGAGATATGGCAGCTCCCATGTCCTGCACCAAGTCCGGTCCCTATCCTTTTGCAACACCTGTACTTTGTCACCCGTCACCGATATACGTTCCCATCCCTGGTTACAAGCTCAAAATCACCTGCCCTGACTGTCACTAAGATTTCTGAGTAAAGTCTCAGGTACTTGCTGTTGTTGCCAGCCCTAGAGAAATGGCAAATGACAGGTACAATAAAGCTTAGTCAGAAAAGGCAGTGGAAATACCTCAGACGTGTCAGTGTCTGCCAGCAAAAGATGTACCATTAAGGTACTCCATGCAACAAACCAAAATCCTTCTGTCAGGCATTACTGAGATGAAAAACCTCTGAGGCTGGACAGAAAAGAAAGCAGACCCAAAGTGGCAGGGCTCGTCTGTGCCCCAAGCACTGTCCATGGCAGCAGGAAGCAGGCAGGCTGTCCCTGAGCCGCCCAGTCCCTGGCAAGGAGGTGACACTCGGGCTCCTTGCCACAGCACTGACTCTCTGGATGAAGCCTCCTGCCTGCTACCTGCCCAGCGAGTATCACAGAGCCCACAGTGCCCGGGGGTCCCAGCCCCCCAGTTGCCCCTGGCATGGCCCCACATAACTGGGTGTCCTCTCTCTGTCCAGACCCAGCTCTGTGGCCGGGGCTCCAGCCGGGGCTCTTGGCTCAGCCCCATGTCCCTCTCCCCACAGCTGTTCCTAGAAAGCCCCGCCATGCTGTGCTGTGAAAATGCCAGCGGTGGGTGCCACCCTTCCTGCTGCCCACCCACAGCCCCCTCCAGAGGACTCTCCAGCAGGGGAGAGCTGGGGAAGGGTCCCCACTTTACCTGCTTGCTGGGAGGGGGAGACTGGCTGAAGCTGCTGGAGTCGCTGCTGTCGGAGCTGTGGGGGATGGGTCCCCAGGGCCTCTTCAGCTTCCTTGTGCTCTTGGTGTGCCTGCCTTCTGTCTCACTTCCCTTCCCCTGCCCTCCTCTATCCCCCCTGAGATGGCCCTTGGCTTTCCAGCTCTCGCCAGTCCCGGAGGTGCGCTGTCCTCCTGCCCTGCGCTCTGCCACTTTCTCTGCTCTCGTCTCAGAGCCTTCTGCACCTTCCCTTTAGGTCTCGGCCTCCTGTGGTTTCTCAGAACCTCGGGGATGTAAGCTGAAAGTCACATGGCCGGAAACTTTTAAGGCGAAGAAGAAAAGTTACAGAAGAAGAAAAAAGAAAAAAAAAAAAAAAGAAGAAGAAGAAAAAAAAGCACATCTGGGAAAAATGAGCTTCAAAATAGCCTGTGAAAAACCCCCGAAAAACACCTTCAGGCGGTTGAAAAACAGTGAGATGGGTTTTCTCTGAGACAAACAGCAGAGATGGAAAGGAAGAAAAGCCCCAGCTCTGGCTGTGAAACCTGGACCCTCAAAGGAGGGCAATGTGGAGGAGGTGCTGCTGGGAGCCCCAGAAATTCCAGGGCCACGGCGGGCCGTGCCAGCCCTGCCCAGGCAGCCTCCACCACCCCAGTCCAGCTGGGGAAATTCCCAGGCAGACACCCACCTCCCCACAACCCACCCACCTCTCCCATCGCCCCCAACACCACTGACGCAAGTCCTGGGGAGGGGACGGGTACCCTCAGCAGGTGCCACGTAAATGCTGTTTGTGCAGATTGCTTGTGTGTGTACGATGGAGCAGCAGTCCCACCTAGGAAGAAAGGCTCGGGATCATAGAACATTTGGGCTGGTTTTGGTAAGACTGGTATTTTCTACAAGGCAAAGCTCTTTACCGTTTTTAAATATTCACTAGTACCTCACCACTGGCCCGTAAGGGGAATATCAGCCCTGGCACACAAATTAGAGTGCGTAATGGTCCGTGAATCCAGAAGCTAAACCTGAGACCTAGTTCTCACTCAACACAATGGTATGAGCTTGGCTATACCCCAGAGGATGTGAGACTGTCATGCAGGGGTCCTGACTCCCTGCCTGCTCCCCTCGAGCCCCCTCTCACCACAGCTGGCGGTAGAAGACATGGGACAGGACTATGGGGAGACAGGAGCATTATGGCATGTTGGAGGTTGTTTCCTCACTATTCTCCCTGTGCCAGCACCCAACCTGGGCATCGTCCATAGAGACAGCAGTGAAGAGAAGCTGTTTTGCATCCCCTTGTTTCTCCCCTGGTCTGTGCTGTGTGGGACTGCTTCCATCCTTTGTACAAGCTTCAGTAGACTGAATACGTAAAAGCAGCCCCTGTGACGGCAGTGCTTCAGGAATTCCTTCAGGGTACCCCATGCTAGCAGCTCTGGAGGTGACAGTGCAGGAGCAGGGAGTGCCAAAGCAGGAGCCATCTGCTTTCTGAGCTGCTCATGTCACCAGAGCCAGTGGGTATGAACCAGGGCCACGTGCCAACAGGCTCTCCATCCACAGACAGGAGTACACATCTTCAGAACGGCTAAGTTCTCACATGTGCTTTGAGGAACAGATATAGAAACAGGAGTGAAGCCATCCACAGTAACCCACTCCTGTGGAAAGCAGCAATTCCCAGTTCCCACTTACTGGTTTTCATTGCATATTGGTGTTTTGGTTGAGTTTCTCTTGCCTCAAGCAGAGCAGCGAGCAAGTCTCAGCAGCAGGGCACCAGCAAGGGCATTTGAGATGCAGTTGTCTTTAGGGCAAAAGTATTGGCAGCTTTGGGTTTGCAGCCTTATTGCAGCACAGAAAGCACATGTGCAGAGGAGTGCACGTTTGGAGCATGGTGCAGACTTGCATGGGCATTGCTGGCATTTCTTCCCAGCTCTGCCACTCATGGAGCCAACACAGGGGCAAACACAGCCAAAAGCAAGAAAAGTGTGGGGCTTGCTACAGGCTGGGTGGCTTGGAGAAATTGCCTGGCCTAGCTCCAGTAGTAAAACTACTCTGTTTTGGCTCATTTCCCTCTTTAGAAACATTCCATGGCACTGATGTGCTACCCTGGCCCCTATTATCTGAACAGTTCACAGCCTGGAGTGTCTTTTTTCTCCCAGTGTGCCATAGGGAAATGCTAGGATCCTCTACACTTTGGAAGGGGGCTGCAAGGGTTTGCTTGCTTGGCTGAGCCACCCTGAGGAACCCTTTCTCCTGGCAGTGTGCCCGCCCTGCAGCAGGCAGGGCTCCTCTGGCATTACCGGCTCTGTAAAAGGAGCACCCGAAGGCACCGGTGAGATGAGAGGCTTGTGGGGCATTGGGTTCAGGCCTCCGAAGGCATCAGCTAGCAGCACAACCATTGAAGCATCCATTCGCTCGCTGCATCACTACACTTCCTCTGAACTCTGCAACCCACTGCAGCACTTCCTTTCCAGGAAGCACGCCGTTGGATTCCCTCTCTCCTGGGGAAACCCACACTCTTTGCTGGCGAGCGGGTCTCGGAGGCTGCCTGGCCCGCCCTGCTCTACAGGCTGCTGTTGCTCAGGGCAGGGCGAAGGGAGCTGCTTCCTCAGGGAAAAATATCCTTGTTCCATTATTATACAAATAAGCTGAATTTCTTCCTTTTGTATCTGGCAAGGCCAGCGGCTGACGGGAGGTGATCATGAAGGTGACGGGTGCATTGGTAGGTGGCAGTGCGGGGAAGCTGGGTGTCCTGGCAGGACCTGGACGGTCAGTGCAAAACTGGCCAGAACACAGCTACAGCAAAGGCTACTTTTTGATCCACAGGAGGAGAGTTTTGAGGTGCACTCTGATTTGCCCAGAACTGGGTTTTTATTAATAGCTGACAGAGAAATCTCAGGAGAGAGTGACATGGCAGGAGAGGGCTTGGACACTTGGTCCTGCTGAGCGGGAATAAGAGAGCATTGCTTTTCCCTCCTTGCCCAAACACGCTTCCACTCTCAAGCTGGCTATGATGCTAATGAATTCCCATCACTTATGAGCAATGAATAAGTGCACTGTAAATGAGACAGCATCTCCTGGGGGGAAGTTGGGCAGAGCCTCCACAGCGCTCCCCTGGGCTGGGCGGGACTCATGTTGCCTCCTGGCAGGCAGTGACCCATGCCATTCCTCCAGAGCTGCAATCCCCAACCCAGAGCAGCAGAAACCACCAGTGTGGCTCCACCAGTATCTGCTCACAGCTCTCTTGGTGCTGCCCTGGGCACCTGCTGCAGGCACATGATATCCTGCTGTCCCTCCCCAGGCTCTCCCTATCCCCTGCTATCAGGGGGAGCCTCAGGAGCCAGCCTCCTAATCGCTGTGTTTGATTTAGGTGACTAAATTTACACAGTGAATAACATCCCCTGACTTTCTCTCTGGGACTGTTTAGGTTTCTTGGTCTTATTCACAGTAGCTGTGAAATCACTGTCAGTGACACTGGATGAACTCACAAGCATTAGGTTACTGCCATACTGGCAGCTTGACGGAGCAGAGATGTTTCCAGAGGTTTTTAGGGGAAGGATGGGGCCATCCAGTTCTGTATTGGTCCCTTCCGAATAACAGTGGGCACTACTGAATAGAGTCCTGTTCTCTCCGGGACAGAGTGGCTGCATCCTGGAGGCTGGGCTTAGTGTGATCTTGACTGCCAGAGAAATGGTTTGAAAGCAACAAGATGCAGTTCAGCAAGAACAAATGCAAATGTAAAGCAAAGCGAGAGGTAGGTAGAAGAACTGGGAAATAACCGACTGGGCAGCAGAATGGCAGGGAAAAATCTGGGGGTTGCAGAGCATCATAAACTGAAGCTTCACTAGCAGTGTGGAGGTGTCACAAAGGGGCCGGATATCGGCCTGGGGTGCTGGGTGCAAGGCAGAGGAGATGAGTGCCCCGCGCTGCCTGGGCAGGGCCAGGACCCATGCAGGGTCCCAGGTCCAGAAGTGGAAAAGCCCAGAAGAAAACAATACAAAGGAACACAGAAACCTTGCACAAATGGAAAGGAATTAAGAAAATGGGTCCATTCAGCCTAGAAAATAGAAGTCTTGGGGGCGGGAAGTGGGTGGGGAGGAAAGAACGGTCTTTGATATGTTGTAATGGAAAGGGTGGTCAGCTGTTTTCTGTGCAGCCAGCACAGGGTAAGAAGCACTGAGCTCCAACTGCAGGAGTGAAAGTTCAGGTCTGAGGTTTGAAACAAGATGATGTTAGGAAGACCTTGGGATGAACAGTTCAGGAAAGTTAATTCAAACCCCTTCATATGAAGTGGTTGGGAACAAACCTCTGTCAGAAAGGGTCCAGGTTGAATCCTGCCTCTGTAGGATGGGTTAGAGTTACATTCCCAGGGTTTAAATAAGGAAAAATAATTTTTAAAAAAGATACTAAGATGGGCTCCTCAGAGCCCAGAGAGCACATAGGGCATTTCTCATCCTTATCTGCAGACAGTCCCTTTGCCTCCAAAGCCCAAAAAGGTCCCTATGTCCCACCTATGCAAACAGCTTCTGGCAGTTGCTAGTTTCCTTGTAAACCTGCTGCTCCAGCCCTCTCACCTGCTACAGGCTTACGGCAGCAACATTCAAAACTGCACCTCACCCCATCCATCTCACCCGTCTTGTTTGCATGACCGTTCAGTGCAGAATGCTATTTAAAAGTCCAACCTAGAGCAGCTACCAACTTCAGCCTCCTGTAAACCACTGAGGTTGTTTCTGCTTCACATGTAGCATTTTAAGCAAATAATTTCTTACAGTATTTGGACAATTGCAACAGTTTGCTTATCATTCCCCACAGGAGTTTTAAGACTCTTGTATGGCATCCAGTGCTGATAAGAAATGTTAAATGAATGGTGGTGTTGAACAAAGTCCTTGCTCTCTACCAGACAAGCTTCTGCTGTGTTCCACTCTGTTGGCACGTGTTGGTCCTGTCTGCAAGGTGGGCAGCTTCCCCAGCAGTCAGGATGGCTTGTCTCCATCACCAGGGTTACTTCATCTCAGCTGAGCAAGTATGAGAGTGAGGTTGTGGCAGGAGAGCTCAAGCATAGTCCCACCAAATTCATCCCACCCAGCAGAGAGCAAATGCCTATCGCATAGAACACTTCCAGTCCTTACTGGGTGCAACCTAACAATGTACCAGAAACAGCTACTTTACACCCCAAATGTCTGATAAATGAGAAGGGCTGCAAATCAAGCACGCAAAAGTATAGAAATCACAGAATTAGCTCCCTTAAGCACACTGCATTTACACCCTCGTACCATGTATGACACTGTGCTCCATAACTGCATGATCCACAAAGGTTTCTTCCCTGGGACAGCCACGTTACCTTCATTGCTGTCCCGTGGTCAAAGCCTGCTCCAACATCCTGCTTTTCCATTTCTTCTTGTTCTTTCTAGTGCTTAGCACTCAGTGAATGTTTCAGGGCTATTAATGAAGCTGTTTTCTCAGCCACCTTTTCAGGTGAGGGGGTGGAGTTATCCCTATTTAACAGTTGCAAAACAAGAGACAAAGAGATATTTAGGTCATAAGTACTCATTCATTTTGGACGCACAGTTTGAAGCAACTAGGATCTAATTTTTCAGCAGTTTTGTCTCTATATAGCACTTTATTTAACCAAACCCCAGCTCCTGATGTCTGTGACTACAGCTGAAAACTTTTAGCATCTCTGTGAATCAGCCCTGGGCAAATGAGGAACACACAGCTGCTCCTGTGAAAGCCCTTGCTTATGAGGCTCACGGACTCATGGAGTAACTTCGAGGCAGGGGCAGATAGACCCAGCTCTCCATGGAGGCACCAAGAATCTACCCAGGAGACCCTCCTTTCTTTCTGTAGTCCCTTGCTTCCTTGACTGTATAGAAGTTTCCCAACCCTGCTCAGAAAAGATCCTTGCTGACCAGCTCATTATTCCCTCTGGCCAAGGTCCAGCCTGGGTGCTGAAGAGATGGCATTCCAGGGCAAAATGTAGGAGGTGATCATATGCACAAGACAGCTGAAGCTGGGTTGCCCAGGTAAACCCATTTCTGGCAATTCCTAGCTCTTCAGTACTTGGCTTTACCACTTTTGTGTTTGGTTTTTGTTTTTTTAATGTCATTAGTAATGCTTTTTATGTCTATGTTTTAAAAGAAGGAAACAGCAAATGTGTTAGCTTTCCAGATATGGACAT